GACATTACTGGGTTTCAGCCATCGCTCGAGGGCCCTCGCTCTCTTCTGTGGCACAGCCCTTTTCAGGCCTGTCTGAAGTGCGAGGCAGCCAGGAGCCCAGTAGCTGCAGCTGAGTCTCACTCAGGCTTTTCCTCTTTTTGTCCAGGAGGCCTTGACTGACGCAGAGAGGATGAAGTGAGTACTGACTGCCTGTCACTGTGCCCCTTTTCACTCCCTGTGTAGACTATTGGTACTACCACGTTTCTCCTCACATCTGGTCTTCTGACATTCCAACTTCTGACTTTGTGGCACAACGTTGTGACCTGCAGTTGTTCATGTTGAAGAACTATAAATTTGAATTGCAAAACAAACAAAAATTGCAGAAAAAAATATTTTATGTAAGTTTGTTATTTTTGTGTTGGGTTGTTTCTATAGGCTCCTTGGCCACATGTGGCCCATGGACATACTCATGCTTAGCAGAGGTAAAGATGGGATGGGGTGTTTTAGGTGTTCTCCCTGGGAAAAGGGTTTTCCTTGATCTGTGGGCTGAGGACCTGCCTTTGCCCAGCTCCTGGCTCTAGAGAGTGACCCGCCTGGCCAGCTGCCTCTTAAGGCCCTTCCTGTCAGCATTTGAGGCCTCCTGGAGAATGACTATGTTGGCCTGAATTCCCAAGAGATTAATAATGGAAAAGCCTGATTGTGAAGTGTGGGAACTGGAGCTGGTGGCCTGCTGGCCTGGGTGGTAACTGGAGGCAGGTTGGGAGCTGTGACCTTTTGTTCTGACCTAGTATTCTTCTGTATTGGGTGGGGCACTCTGCTTCCACACCATCGCATCTTCAACCTAGGCCTTGAAGCCAGAGGGCTGTATCTAAAGAGTCTCCCTAGCTAGACTGAAGCTAAAGGGACCCAACCCACCTGCCTGTCCTCTCCTTTCCCAGTCCTGTCTGGTGCTCTAGGGTTAGCTGTCTCTAATGGCTCCCTGTCCATCCCCCACCCCAGACTTTTGCAGCAGGAAAATGAAGAGCTTCGTCGGCGCTTGGCCTCGGCCACCAGGCGCACCGAGGCCTTGGAGCGGGAGCTGGAAATAGGGCAAGACTGCCTGGAACTGGAGTTAGGCCAGAGCCGCGAGGAACTGGACAAGTTTAAAGACAAATTCCGCAGGTGTGGGAATAAGGGGCCAGATATCTCCCCATTCATGGGAGGTCAGCTGGATGAGCCTCAGATCCCACCTGATTTTATTTAGAAACCCAGGGACTGTCCCAGATCCCCATGTGGAGGAGGGTTTGTAGGGCCTGAAGAACAGGATCTTGACCAAGGCTTTCTGCCTTGTATCCTTCCGTAGGTTGCAGAACAGCTACACAGCTTCCCAGCGGACTAACCAGGAGCTGGAGGACAAGCTGCATACACTGGTACTGTGCTGGGATGGGCAGTTTGACTGGCACTGTGCTACAGCATAGCAGTGGGCCAGGACTTGCCAGGGGGGTGCCATTCACCATGGCGCTTGGGGAGGGTAGGGCAGGGCAGTGTTGGGGAGGGGACTGCAGTGTGCAGTGCCAGTCGGGACTGTCTTAATGCTCACACTGTTTCTCTTCTCTCTTCGTCTCCCCCTCACGCTGCCACCGCTGCTGCTGCATTCTCCTCTCAGGCCTCTCTTAGCCACAGCTGGATTTTTGCAGTTGCGTCTGAGTTTGTGTGTTCTTCCCCCTGGTCCTGGCCTCCTTGGTCCATTATCAGGGATTGTGGGGCCCTGGCTGTTTCCCTCTGCCCCTCCATTCTTCTCCATCACTATGAGGCCCAGTTAGTATTCAGTGCTAACTGGGAAAGAGCTAAGGCTGGGGTTCTGCTCATTGCTCTGGCAGAGGTACTTGCTGATAGCAACCCTCAGAGCTTTCCCAGCTTCTAGCTGCAGTGACAGCAAGCCTGGGCTATAGGGACACGCTAAGGGAACTGAAGATGAGAAATCTACTTGAGCCTGTAGTTCCCTCTGCCCAGCCAGCTAATCTCATAGGCGCCCCACTCCTAGCTTATCCTGGAAACAGCTGCTCACACAGGCTTTAGTCCCTGGCTGAAGTTACCGTCTCTGAGACGCCAGTGCCTTCCTTGCCTGGTGCCTGGTGTCCCTTAAGCTCCCTCAAAGGATGGGTAGTTTCTTAGACTGCCTCTGTCCTGGGTTACCGTGGCATCAGGTCCTTCTCAGAATCCCCTCTCCTGAGCAGCCTGCAGAGCAGGAGAAAGGCCAAGTCTCCTCCTGTCTGTCACCGTCTGTCTGCTCTGTCTGCCTTGGCTGCCCTAGCACCTGTGGCCTTGTGTCTGGACTGGAGGTGGTAGAGGGGGCAGGCTGGCTGGGGTCTGGGCTGCCTTTACCACAAGTCTGTGCTTCAGATCAAGAAGGCTGAGATGGATAGAAAGACGCTGGACTGGGAGATTGTGGAGCTGACTAACAAGCTACTGGATGCCAAGAATACCATCAACAAGCTGGAAGAGCTCAATGTATGTACCCGTCAGCGTGACTGCGTCTTATCCCTTTGGGTGGCTTGGGCTCTAAGCAAGTCTGTGTCTGCAGGAGCGATACCGGCTGGACTGCAACTTGGCTGTGCAGCTTCTCAAGTGCAACAAATCCCACTTCCGGAACCACAAGTTTGCTGATGTGAGTGACACACCTGCCGGCATCAGTCCTGCCTTTAGGACTCTGATTCCCCTTCCACTTTCCTTCCTTTTGCCCCCGGTTGCACTTCAAGGTGTTTAACCCTGTCTTGCTCCTGGGCACTGCTGAGGCCCGTTACTAGTGTTGGAGCTGCTGTTAGTATTTCTGTAAAGTGCTCTTTGAGTCTGAGGAGCCTGTGTAGGAAGAAGGGGTGGCCAGAGCTAAAGCCCATCTGATCCCACCCTCTCAGGGGCAGAGCCTCTGCCTCCCAGCCTCCAGCCCAAGGCCTCACTGGCCTGCAGAACTGGAGGTGTTGACAGGTCATTGACTTCATGTTAAATACCATACCAACTTTTTTCCTCTGTGAGGTGGGGTGTAGAAGTTTAAAAGCTAAGTGCACAATGTTAACCAGGATATGGTGACTGTTGTTGACCCTGACGCACCGGCTGTTAACCAGGATATGGTGACTGTTGTTGACCCTGACGCGCCCGCTGTTTTTGCCATGGGTCAGGCTCTCTGCAGCGGGGCTCATTCCTGTCTCTCCCCCTCCTCTTATTCCAGCTGCCCTGTGAGCTGCAGGACATGGTTAGGAAACATCTGCGGAGTGGTCAAGAGGCTGCCAGCCCCAGCCCTTCTTCCAGCCTGGCCGCAGGGGCTGTGGTGCCTACGTCAGTCATTGCCCGGGTCTTGGAGAAACCGGAGTCTCTCCTGCTCAATTCAGCCCAGTCAGGCAGTGCTGGACGCCCCTTGGCTGAGGATGTCTTTGTGCATGTGGACATGAGTGGGGATGCGCCAGGTGACTCAGCCCCTGGCAGTCGCTCTCCACAACCCAATGGGGAATGCTGCTCTGTGAGCACTGGAGGAGGCTCCCCAGAGGAGGAGCTGCCCCTGCCAGCCTTTGAGAAGTTGAGTCCCTACCCTACCCCTTCTCCGCCACACCCATTGTATCCTGGGCGGAAGGTAATAGAGTTTTCTGAGGATAAGATTCGGATTCCACGCAACAGCCCCCTTCCCAACTGTACTTATGCCACTCGACAGGCCATCTCCCTGAGCCTGGTGGAGGAGGGGAGTGAGCGGGTCCACCGCAGCCCCGTGCCTAGCAGTCCTGCCTCAGCCCAAGGCTCACCCCATCACCAGCCTAGTCCAGCCCCCTCAGCACTCAGTGCCCCAGCCAGCTCTGCCAGCTCTGAAGAGGATTTGCTGGCCAGCTGGCAGCGTGCATTTGTAGACCGCACCCCGCCTCCTGCCGCTGTGTCCCAGCGCACAGCCTTCGGACGCGATGCACTCCCTGAACTACAGCTTCATTTCTCCCCGAGCCACGCTGAGGCCCCACAAACCTCTCCACGCAATGAGAGTGGACTTTTGCTACCAACACAGCCTGACTCTGCCTTTCCCAGGGAAGAGGAAGAGGAAGTACTGAACCTGCCTGTCAGCCCCGAGGAAGAGCGCCAGAGCCTGTTGCCTGGTAATGAGGGCACAGGGGAAGGACCTAGTACTTCCCACATTGATGGCAGGGCCTGGCCACTCCCCAGTTCCAACCGCCCCCAGCGCAGCCCCAAGAGAATGGGAGTACACCACTTGCACCGCAAGGACAGCCTAACGCAGGCCCAGGAACAGGGCACCCTGCTCAGCTAAGCCCACTTGCCTTCCTACCACCACCCCTCAGGGCTGCAGACGGCTTCTGAACCCTTTCCTCAGACCTGGGTAGCTGTGTCCTATGTGCGTGAGGCCCACACCAAATCTTGCACCTGCGTCGGCACTGACTGATACCAGCTCGCCTCCTGATTTTTTCCTTTCCTCTTGGGGTGCTTGTTCTCCAAGGGTAGTGAGAGTCCTGAGCACTTCCCGCCATTCAGTCTGCCCAGGTGTTTCCATGGGGAAGCGCCCAGCTTGCCAGTGTTCATTTTCCATTCCTCTTCCGTATCCAAGAGCTTTGGTTGTTAGGGGAGGGTATCACTGAAGCTCCTGACCTCTGATTACTCTTTCCGCTGCATGAGCTGCTCTTAGGCGTGGCCCAGCTGGCCCTAGGGACAAGGGTGGACTCACTCAGGGCTCCCCTCTGCTGTTCCCACCATCCCTTCCAGAGAGAGGGTGGGACTTTAGGGGCCACAAGCTAGGCTCCAGGTGAGGCCTGGCCCCCTCTTAACCTTGGCTCTAGACTGTTACTCTGAGATTTGGAAAATTTTTCACATTAATGACTTTTAAAATCAAATAAAACTTATTTTACAGGTATGGTTTAATTTGCCTTAATGACTTTCTCCTTCCTACTGTAATCCCGTTCTTATTTTTTATTTTTGAATGGCATCTCATGTAGACCAGGCTGGCCTGGAATTCACAGAACCCTCTGCCCTCTGCCTCCAGTGCTAAAATTAAAGGTGTGACCTACCATGCCTAGCTAACATTTTTTGAGTGTTTGTGTGTGCGCACGCATGTGCACAGATGTGCATGCAGGTGGCCACAGAGGCCAGAGGTTTGGTACTCTGGAACTGGGGTCATGTGTTAACTGCTGAACACCTGTCCAACACTTGAGTATTTCTAATCCAACTTCTCCTAGTCTTTTCCAGAGACTCCCCTTTAGCCTGTTCTACCTGGCTTCCCTTGGCCAAGGCATGAGGAAGAGGTGTCAGATAACAGTGGGGCTAATATTAAGCTTCCCTGTAGAAGGAGGATAAAGTTCAGCTCAGCTTCTTGCTCCAGTTATCTTCAGGCGTCTGAACTCCCAGGACCCCTAGGTCCTAGACCTAGGCTGACCTCTTAAGAGTCTGAGCTGTAGAGTGATATCCCCCTAACACTGATTAGTGGTACTGCCAGTCCCTCCCACTGGTCATCCCCCAGTGACTACAGCTACAAGCCAGGTTGTGCAGTTTATAAAATCTGTTCCGAGCCAGCGGGTTGCAGCCAGAGCTGCCAACAAGTTCAAAGTTCAGTACCCTGGGTTCAAGTCCCATCCCCACCCATCCCCCAAGGCTGTTGCCCAGTGACAGCTTCCAGAGCCTCCCACCACTGCCAGGAGCTGCCAGAGCCCACTGCCATGTGGAAGAAGGTAGTGGGGACACATACAAATGCAATGATGTGCAGAAGCCCACGTGGAGAGTCACATCTCGGTCTCTGCTAACAGACTGTCCCCTAGTCCTGATGTCATTAGCACCATCTGAGAGCTGGGATCTGTGAAAGGGCAAAGGATGTTCCTTAGTGTGTGTCACAAACAGATGAAAGCCATGGCCTGGTTTCCCAGCACCACTCCCTTGTTTCAAATCTTCCAGACCTAGCTCTCATTCATTCTCCAGGTTCTTACCGCTGGGGCACATCCAGGAGCTGCCACCCCTCTGGTGGGGAGCAGGCTCCCGGCCTCTCCCCCACTCCTGGGTGTCGACAGCCCCTCCTGCTCCCTCTTCCTCTTCCTCCCCCTCAGAGAGAAGGTCACAGATCTGCTGCTGCAGCTCTGGGCTAATGCTGTTCTCAGCCAACACCAGGCTCCGCAATGCAGTCGGGTAATTTTCTACCATGTCCAGTAGGGTCTGGGGAAGGGAGAAAAGAGCACAGGAAAGAATGAGCAGGAGAGGTGTGGCTCTGTGGTTAAGAGCAATGGCTGCTCTCCCAGCACCCACACGGCTGTTTGCCATCTAACTCCAGATACAAACTATGTGACATCACCTTCTGACCTCCATGGGCACCACAGACATATAGGCAAAACATTCATTCACAGAAAATAAATATTAAATTATAAAATTAAAACAATGGGGCTGGAGAGATGGCTCAGAGGTTAAGAGCATTGCCTGCTCTTCCAAAGGTCCTGAGTTCAATTCCCAGCAACCACATGGTGGCTCACAACCATCTGTAATGGGGTCTGGTGCCCTCTTCTGGCCTGCAGACATACACACAGACATAATATTGTATACATAATAAATAAATAAATATTTTAAAAAAATAATTAAATTAAAACAATGAAGCTGGGTGGTGATGGTGCACACTTGGGAGGCAGAGGCAGGTGGATCTCAGTGAGTTCGAGGCCAGCCTGGTCTACAAAGCAAGTTCCAGGACAGCCAGGATGGTACACAGAGAAACCCTGTCTTGAAAAAAACAAAACAAAACAACACAATTTAGGCAGCCCTTGGGTCTGTCCCCGGCACGGATTATCTCAGTCTTTCACCTAGTTGTCTCCAAAACATTGCCCTCTCACCTGAGCTGACTGGTTGGTGAGCCCTGTGCCCTCCAAGTCTAGGACTTCTAGGGTACGGCTTGAGGCCACAGCTACAGCCAGCATCCCTGCCACATGGTCACCTAGGGAGACAGCACAAATTCTCAGCTACCTGAGATAACAGAGGTCTGTTAATCCTTAGTCCTGGTCAGGACCACCATGCTTGGCCGGGAGACGCAGGTGAGTGGCCAGGAAGGGAGTGAGATGCATCAGATCCACGGGTTCTGATGGAGGCTTTAACCTACCTGTTGGTCATCTGGCTCCTTTACAAGACCCCTGGGAGTTCTCATTCATCTTTCCTTCATTGCATGGGGGTTACTATGTAGCAACTGGTGGTCTCTGGATGGGGAAGGAGCAGTGAAAATGGAAGGGAATGATCTTAAGCTCACCCAGGGGGTTGTAGTCCAGGTTGAGGACGCGGACTTGGGAGCTGTGGGCCACAGCAATGGCGAGGCGGCTCCAGCCCTTAGGGGTGATGCCAGGGTTGGCACTCAGTGTTAGCTCCTTCAAACCTAGGCAGCAGCATCAGTGAGAATCCAGGATGGGTGGAATCAGGCCCTTCTCCAGTCCCTTCTCTACCATGCGTCTATGGGATTAGCCTAATGGCTGGGAGACACCTTGCCCCCAACCATAGTAGTCTGGAGCAATTAGGGACCTACTCACGCCTCCCCTGCTTGGATCACCATTGTTTCCACTTGGCTCAGTCCCTGAACTTCTCCCTTCCTAAGAAGGGTAAGAAGGCATTCCTAGCTCTCAGCACTGGGCCACACCCCCTTCTTCCGCATTCAGCCCATGCACTCAGAAAGGCCCTGCTCACCAGACTTGGCCCCGTCTGGAGGGAGGAGGCCGCAGATGAGGTTGATGGCTTCATCACCCAGCATGCAGTCTCCCAGGTCAAGAGCCACCAGGGCAGGATGGAGAGCCAGGGCAGGGTTCAGCAAGGCCAGTCCCGCATCCGTCAGTGGGCTCCCGTGCAGGCTGAAGGTTGAGATGAGATTACATTGGAATCATGAGCTTTATCTGAGAAAGCTGCCCTTACCCCGAGACAAGAATGGGAGGAAGAACGGAAATTCTAGATTTGAAGGCGTACGATGGAAAGGGAGTGTGGTTTCTTTCTGTTGTAGGAATTGGTAATGAGAACATTGCACGGGGAACGGTGTGGGTAGTGGACTGGGGAGCTGGCATATATGCTCACGGTGTCTCTGAGATCTTTCAGTGGGAAGGGCTGGGATGTAGTCTCCGTGGGAGGAGACCCTTCCTCAGAAATGAGGGGTTCACAATGAAGTAACTGGGGTTGGGATGGGGAGGAACGACATTCCCTACCAGGAAGAGCTAGGCATTCCAGCTCTCCTGCGGGGCCGAATGTGGAGCAAAGTCTAGAAATGATCCATGTTTCTGGAAGGGTGTGGTGGACCCAGAAGAAAGATGTGTGCATTAGAGGTTGCGAAGGCGGGACGGTGGAAAAACAGGTACTGGAAGGTAATGTGGAGATGCAGGAGGTGGTAGGGGGTGCAGTAGCCGGGACCCCCTTGCGAGGGGACACACTCACAAGAGGGACTGGATGGAGCGGTTGGTCCGTAGCGCTTCCGCCAGCTGCTTGATGCGGCTGGGGCTGGACACGACGCCCAGGTTAAGGTTGAGCTGCGCCAGGGATGTGGCTCCAGCTAGGGCCCGGCAGATGCGTCCGAAGTCGCGGTCACACAGGCGACAACCGCGCAACGAGAGCAGGCGCACCGCGTTGTCGCGCAGGCCGCGGCAGATGTCCCGCACCTCAGCGCCTGACAGCGGCTCCCCGGAAATCTGGATGGAGCTGGGCAGCATGGTCCCCACGACTGGGCCTGGGGGCTGGCACCGGTGTCCCGGCCTGGGCAGAAGTTGGCCCGACTGCGGTCTGGGGCGGGGCGGGGCAGGGACTGAGGTCTTGATCTCGGTTGGGGTCACAGCCGGAGCGGAGGCGTCCGTGGCTGTGGCGGGGACGAAGCGAGCCCGGGCCGCGGCGGGAGCGAAAGCAGGCGCGGGCCCGGGATGCGGAGACGCGGAGGAGCGGCGCGGGGGAGGGGGCGGCCCCGGGACAGAGCCGCAGCCGCCCCGCGCTGGTCCTTTCCCTCGCGGCTTTGGAGGCCGCGCCCGCTCTGCGGGCCCCGGGCCCGGCAGCACGGCTCTGGGGAACAGCCGGGGCGGGATGCAGCTCAGCTTAGGCTGCTGCAACCGAGCAGGCGGCGAGTTCCTATAGCAACGGTTGCGTCACTGGCTCTTGCCCCGCCCCTCCCGGTATGAACCACGCGGCCGGCGCACGATGCTTGTCTTAGGGCAAAGAACTAGGATCCGAGGGCCTGACAACTTGAAGAGTAGAGGGATTCAGGGTGGAGGCAAGTCACGTTGAGACAGCCTTTGGTGCCATTTCGACTTCTTTTACTTATTCTCCAGTGCTTTTCCATTCTTAAAGTCTAAATCCAGAGATTCTGCGCCCTCTCCAATACCCTGAACAATCAGTCCCTAGGCCCTTTAATCCGTGCCCCGCCCTGCCCCCATAACCCAGTGACGTGAGGCGTAGCATGCGTGGGGATTCCGGTCCACGGGGACTTCCCGGTCAATACGGCTGCGCAGGACAGAATCCCTAGGGTAGGGCAGGTAAACCAGCCTTGAAGACGTTTTAATATCCAGGAGAATGGGACTGCCAAAGGGTGTCACATCAACCCAAAGCTGAGGGGATCGGTGTGGGGGTGGGGATGTGTAAAGTGACTGGAGCAAAGCGAAATCGAATTTTATTCCTATGATTGCAGTGGGGGCTTCATTTGTGCAACAGGGCAGTATAATAGGAAGAAGTGTCATTTTTTCCTTTTAAAAAAGTGAGCTAAAAATTGGACTGTGGTGGCACACACCTATAATCCCAGCACTTGGGAGACAGGCAGGCAGATCTTAGTGATTTCAAACCCAGCCTGGTCTACAGAGTGAGTTCCAGGATAGACAGAGCTAAGCTACATAAAGAGACTTTGTCTGGAACTCTCCCTAGCCCCCCCCCCCACAAAAAAAAACCCAAACAAACCCAAAACCAAAAAAAGAAAAAGAAAACCCAGTAAAGCCAAAAGCCCTCCTCCCTCCGTTAACTATTTGAATTTATGTAAATATTTTTAAATTATTATTTTTTTATTTTGTGCACACTACAGGTATATAGATGCTTGCAGAAGCCAAAAGGGAGCTAGAGTTACAGGAAAATCTGAGCCAGCCACCTTGGAAGCTGGAACTGAACTGCTGAATTCAGGTCCTCTGCAAGAGCAGTGCACTCGTTCCCGAGCCATCTCTCCAAAGCCCCAGGTTTTTTTTTTTTTTAAATATTTATTTATTTTGTATACAATATTCTGTGTGTATGACTGCAGGCCAGAAGAGGGCACCAGATCTCATTCCAGATGGTTGTGAGCCACCATGTGGTTGCTGGGAATTGAACTCAGGACCTTTGGAAGAGCAGGCAATGCTCTTAACTTCTGAGCCATCTCTCCAAGCCCCAGGTTTTATTTGTAATTGTGTACGCATGTGTCTGTGCAGTGAGTGCAGGTGACCTTGGAGATCGCTGGAGCTCCTGGGGCTGGAGGGGAGTTACAAGCAGTTGTGAGCTACCCCCCATGGGTGCTGGGAATGGAACTCAAGTTCTCCCAAAAAGCAGCATCTGGTTTTACCCAGCACTCTGAATTTATTTTTATTGAAACAGGTCTGGCCCTAACTGGCCTGGAACTCACTTTGTAGACAAGGCTGGCCTTGACGTCACAGAGAACCACCAGCCTCTGCCTCCTGAGTGCTGGGATTAAAAGGAATACACCATCACACTCAGCCTGAATTTACTTCTTCAATGGAGGCTAAAGGGTGGTGGTACTCAAAAATAACACCTGGAGGGAAAACAGAAATCTAAGCCTCAGTAGAACCATCTTTGGCTTCAAATATCAGCTGCATGTGGACATTATCTGACAGTGCCCAGGTGCAGAGGTCCTTGCAATGATGTCAGTGGAAACTTATTCATTTGTCATTGCTGCATCGGCTTCTCCAAAGTACAGCCAGCCTGGACTTAAGCCTGGTGTACATATATGTGAGGATTGTGGCTCTCATGCTTGGTCCTGCCTGCTGTTCTGTGGGTCAAGTATCTCTAGCCCTCAGGGCAGTTTCTATAATCAGCTGCCGCCTGTCCTTTCTTCACCCTGCCCAAGTGAGGGTACAGAAGACATACGACATCAGCACTGCTGACAGAACGGAAATGTGTATCTGAGGTAGGGTGACAGGAGAATGGCTGGAACAGGAGCTGTAGTTCCAGACTTCAATCAATATTTTAATTACCAAGTCTATATTTAGCAAGACAGGAGGGAAAGGGAGAGAAAAGAGGGGTAGGTGGTGAGGGCCTCAGAAGAGCTGACCCATATTCTGCACTTGGCTGCAGAGGCTTGCAGTCCTGGCCAGGAGTTTCTGGCCTCGTGCCTTTGAGAAGCCAAGCCCCATGCCAAGGAGGTGTTTAGGAGCGACAGCTCAGTGTCTGCTGCAGACCTCATCAAAGAGATACACGTCCTCAGTACTGTCCTTCAATCTTCCTCTCTCCAGAGCTGGGGTCAGGGCTGGCCAAGGCTTTCAGGTAGGGTCAGTGTGACTGCAGGGTCACTGCTATTGCCTTGGCGGTGGCATTAACCACAGTAACAGGAAGCCTGACAGCAGGGAGCACCGCAGGGATGTCTCTTGGGACCCTCTGCATGGGTGGGATATTGGGGCCCTCCAGGGTGTCCAGGATCCCTAAAGGAGGAAGGATGCAGGACGAGTGAGAACTGGCTAGGCAGGCCCCCGGGTCTGCTCATCCAGCCCACTCCCGACTACAGACCCTCCTGCCACTTACCCTCTACCACCTTGTGGTAGGCAAAATGCAGATAGAGCAGAAAGAGCATGTGCAGCGCTGCCAGTGTGCCACAGAGGAGCAGCCGCTGGGTGGGGCCTACAGTCCGTGACACCAACACTGCCACCTAGGGCCACAGGTACACAGTTCAGAAGGCCTGTTTTAAAGGACGGATGGAGAAGATAGCCAGGGCAGAACCTGTAGAGTCCTTTGTGGGTGAACAGCAAAACCCGCTCAGCTTACCATGCGCAGGGTGGAGAGCCCACCCACCAGCAGCCAGAAGAGGTAGAAGAGGGAATGAAGGTGAATGTTATAGGTGATGAACAGGACAATACAGTGCCCGAACAGGCCATAGCCCTGTGGGGAGAGAAATGAGAGCACCATCACTTGGGCTGGAGTAGCCTTTGGCTCCATGGAGGGCTCTCTGGCCTGCTCCTCCCATCCCAAGTCCACAGATGCCTGGAGAGCAGCGGACCAGAACCTTACTGACCTCAGGCTCTCCTTGCCCACTCCCAGGACCGGCTCCTTACCAGCAGTGCAAGCATCTGGAGCATTGTGATCTGGGCATTGCACAGGTAGGCAAGGAAATAAATGAAGGACGAGACACCCAGCCAGTATCCGAAGCAGGTGCCAATGGCTGTGCCCATCAGGGTGCCCTCCCGCTGTGGGGTGAAGGGTGAAGGCTTTGCTTAGGGCTGAGACACTGTGATCTCGCCCAGGTCGTCACTCAGGTGTCACACCATCATATCCTCAGCGTCTTCAACTACGTCAGCCCCACCCCCAAGGTCTGTGTCCTGCTTACGATAATGGTGTCAGAAGTCTTCATCCCATGGAGGAGGATGGCAACCAATGTGAAGACCAGCATGAGGGGTCCGTAGAGCTCACCTGCGACTTTCTGTCAGCACACAACACATTCAGACTGGAGGCTGGGCCTACTGGCCCACACTCTACCCTGAAGCCTCCCCGGCTCTGCACACATGCCATTCCCTAGTCACCTGGGGGAAGCTGACCATCTTGATAGGGATCATGGACTCCAGGAGCCTAGGAGAGGGGAGAGGAGAGCAGATGCAGCAATATGCTGAGATTGTGGAGGGCAGGGTCTGTATCTTACTCAAGTCTCTATCACCAGGGGACAGGGAGGGGCCAGAGGACATACTGAACGAGGGGGAGGGGAAAAAGACAGGGAATGAAAGGAATCACTTTGTGCGAGGTCAACTCTCTGAGGTGAGTGGAGTAGCAGCTACCTGGAAAACTTGGAGAGAGCCAAGGATTTACTACATGGCCTATAGAAGACAGGCGAAAGCAAGTGGAGGGTACCCAAAATGTGGAAGCCCCGAGAGCAGTGCAACCATTTATATTTTTCCAGGCAGTGGGCGTTTCTCTTGAAAAATGTACTTAAAGTGGTATGGACATGCACACAGAATAAAAAAAGAGGTCACTTCTCTCTTTGTCTACGACTACTATACCTTCGCTTATTCTTGTGTTTTAGCAAGGTTTCTTGGATTATTCTTTTTAGTTAAGACATTACTTCTTCTGGGAAGCTTCCCTTTCGGGCTCAAGTGTCCTTTCTGTGTGTCCCACAGTCGTACTAGAGCACTGTGTTGTGACTGCACTCAACGGCAAGGCTCCCACCTATCCTCACCAATGAATCCGGTATCACAGAATAAAACCTCAGTGTACAGGGCCCTGGGTTCTGTACCAGCACTGGTTCAAGGCTCAGAAAGAACCAAGCCAGGACTGAATCCAGTTCTTGAGAAGTCAGCGAATGACTATGCTCAAGGCGGCAGAGCTTGCTTCAGAGGTGTAGCTGGTCTCTGGGGAGACCAGCCCAGGAATAAGAATGTATTGCTGTCTGAAGAGCTGCCTGGTGGAAGAAAGTAGAGTTGTCTAGGAGTCTGGGGGGAATGAGAACAGAGCGAACACTGTTAGAGCGAGGTGTGGAGGGACGGTGGCTAACATGCTGGATAGAGGACACAGCCGATGGACTTTCGCCATGCTGTAATCGGCAGCAGGTTTGGTGACTAGGGTGATGGGGTTACAGTAGGGGAGCCCGCCAGAGTTTAGGGTCAGTATCTGACTGTAGTCTGGGTGATGGAGTTACAGTAGGGGAGCCCGCCAGAATTTGGGCTCAGTATGACTGAAGGCTGGGTGATGGGGTTACAGAAGGGGAGCCCACCTGAGCTTAGGGTCAGTATCTGGCTGTAGTCTGGGTGATGGGGTTACAGTAGGGGAGCCCGCCGGAATTTGGGCTCAGTATGACTGAAGGCTGGGTGATGAGGTTACAGAAGGGGAGCCCACCAGAGCTTAGGATCAGTATCTGGCTGTAGTCTGGGTGAGGACTAGACGTGAGAGCAGACTGGTCTGAGAAGGCTCCTCACCTGCTTCGGACCTGGGCAGGCTCCACATCAAAGTATGGTCTCAGGATGTCGATGTTGGCATACAGACTGAAGGCTCTGGAAGCTTGTCTCTTCCCTGCCTGCCACATCTGAAGGGAGACGGTATTATTACACTCTCGGCTCTGGGCTGTCATCCTGTCTCTGCTGGATTTCTGTGTAATTCTAACTGAAAAACCTACATCAACATGGGACGTACACGGGTCCACTTTCCCATCTGCTTACCTGGTCAGCCACCTGCCGGCTCAGCTGTCCCTTAAAGCCTTTCATGCCAAGGAACTCTCCCTCCTCCTCTTCTGCAGCAGCAGCATCAGCGTCCACTTCTTCCTCACGCAGGCGCTGATGTAACTCACCCATATCCTCGAAGCTGGAGCCTGAGGTATCATCCATGTTCTCCATATCAATCACAGCCGAGCCCCCACCCTGTGAAGACAATGGCTCCTAGAGTGAGGGGCCCATCTGTTCTCTGCTCATCTCATGGGCTGAGGCTGTGCCCCTCCACTGATGAAGATACAGAATTGCTACCCACTAGGCCACACTCCTTCCTTTCACTGCTGGCACACTTGGTCGCCACACTTTCGTGGTCCAGAAAATCTACTACTCGTCTCGGATTCACGTTGTTTTCCTACTTTCTCGAAGCTCCAGAGAGCGGCACAAGAGCCCATCTGCCTTCCTCAAACAAGCACACAGTCCATCTTTAAGGCGTGCCAGTGAATCCTATCCTCTTAGCCCTACACTGTGCCTGACCCGGACAGACTTCCCACCCCGTCCCGCACAGTTCCGGGCAGGCAGAGACCCGAGGCCCGCCGGAGCCTCAGCCTGGCCCTTTCACGTCAGCACAAGCTCTACAGACTTTCGCGTGGCCGACTCAGAGAGGTCAGAAGGTGGCCGACTTCCACGCCGCGCGCGAGAACAGCAGCCACACTCGGGACGGCCGTCAGCCGGGGGCGGGGGGCCTGCTGGCAGCCGGAACTCTCAATACCTGGATGTTTTCTTCGAAGCCTCCCCATTCCGGGCCAGCTCCATTTCGGACGCCGCTGGCCGGCGTCGCCGTAGTCGCCATGTCCCTCGAGGCTTTCCGTCGCTGAAGCTCGTGCTCGTGGGAACAGTGTGAGACCTGAGCCCAGGTGAAAGAAACGTCCAGAGAGAGAGAGGGGAGAGGTAGCACCAGCAGGAATGCAAAAAGGAGAAACCCGGATGTTTGGCCCCAATTGACGTCCAGAAGTGAAGGACGTGGACAGAGGCGGGGCATGCTATCGCGACGTTTGAGAGCTCAGGAGGCGGAGCGTTGCCGCGGAGACAGCCACGGGCTGCGTACGCGTGCGCGGATTTGGAGGCTTCTCTGGCGGTGCATGGTGGAAAATGGCGGCGGCTCAGGCTGTGGAGGAGATGCGGACTCGCGTGGTTCTGGGAGAGTTTGGGGTTCGCAATGTAAGCTCTGTCTGAGCTGAGGAGAAAGAGGCGGGACAGGGAGGAGGACGCCCTGTTTGGGGCCCGGCTTCGCTGCTGTGTCGTGAACGGATCTCCTCTGTTTGCTCTAGGTCCATACCACTGACTTCCCGGGTAACTATTCGGGTTATGATGATGCTTGGGACCAGGACCGCTTCGAGAAGGTGGGTGGAGCTGGAGGTGTCCCGACGGCTTGAGGGGCCAGACCTCACAAGTTTTGGGGTTGGGAGTCGCTGCTTTCATAAAACGTAAATTGAGCCATGTGCTAGGAGCTCCGTGGACGTCAGGACAGCTCCTGTTCCTGGAACAAGTTGTTCGCTCTCGGTTGGGTAACGGGCCACGTAAAGAAATGATAATAAACTATCGGTGACGGTGGCTGGGGCGGAGGAATCACATAGATACACCTAATCCAGCCCATTGGAGGGACGTAGTTAAAGGTCAGTGAAGAAAGAGACATCTGAATTAAGCTTTGTGTGTGTGTGTGTGTGTTTTCGAGACAGGGTTTCTCTGTGATTTTGGAGCCTGTTCTGGAACTAGCTCTTGTAGACCAGGCTGGCCTCCAACTCACAGAGATCCACCTGCCTCTGTCTCCCGAGTACTGGGATTAAAGGTGTGCGCCACCACCGCCCGGCTGAATTAAGCTTTTTAACTTTGAATAAAGGTTGAGCAATGGCCAGGCAGTGGTGGCGCATGCCTTTAATCCCAACACTCGGGAGGCAGAGGCAGGCGGATCTCTGTGAATTGGAGGCCAGCCTGGTCTATAGAGTGAGTTCAGGACAGGCTCCAAAGATGTAGAGAAACCCTGTCTCAAAAAACCGAAAGAAAAAAAAAGGTGAGCAACGAAGACTCAGTATGCACGGTGTGGTAAGGTTTGCTCTGAGCCTGTTCCAGCAGTTCGTTACTGTCAGAGGTCAGCACGTCGGCATGAGTGGTAGACAAGATTGGGGTGTATCTTAAGCTCTGCAAGATAATAGAGAGCGTTTTGTTTTTTTTGAGGCAGGGTTTCTCGACATATCCTTGTCTGGCCTGGAACTTGCCTCTGCTTTCCAGGTGCTGACATTAAAGGCGTGCAATACCGGCTTAATGAGAGTTTTTCAGTAGACCGATCAAATTTTGTGACCTTAATAGCTGGGAGGAAATGAATTCTGACAGATCTGCTAGATCTGTGTGGCAGCTGAGATCGAGGGCATGGATATGCCACTGATAGTGGAAGTGAGAACTAACAAGTCTTTGTATCATTGCTTTGGTGAGGGCTGTGTGAGTGAAAATGGACCTTGTGATTTGGAACGTAAGAAAATGTTTTGGGTTTATTTGTTTGCCTGCATGTGTGTTTGTTTATGATTCATGTGTGTGGCTGGTGACCCGGGAGGTTGGAGGAGGGAGTTAGGTTCCTGGAACTGGAGTAATGGATGGTGGTGAGCCACTATGTCGGTGCTGGAAACAAAACCCCGCTCTTTAAGTGCTCTTAACTGCTGAGCCATCTCTCCAGCCCCACTGGAGAACTATATCTCAAGAGCGATGTGTATAGATCAAGAGGATGATGTTTGAAGTGACGTTAAAGGTGAGACCTAGTTTCGGGAGTTGCCAAGCAGTTGCTTAAGCCAGAAATGTGGTTGAAGTCACCCAGGAGGTTAGAATCTAGGGGAAAGTAATATTTACAGGGTGAGTGGAAGAGAGACTTTAGGAAGACTGTCAGATAAGAGAACCAAACTGGTGTTCAGAAACCAATGGACTAAGGTTAAAAAAAAGAGGGATTAAAAAATAAACAGAAATGCAGCAGTAACTGGTCTAAGTAGTGTGGGAAGTTCTGCTCTTTAGTGCAGCGCTTCTGTGGGTTGTGTGGAGCCATATTGCTTGGCATCTTCAAAAACTGAGAAGCCAGACATGGTGGTGTACACCTTTAATCTGAGCACACAGAAGAGCCAGCATGATGGTGCACACCTTTAGTCCTAGCACAAAGAAGAGCCAGAGGTGGTGGTGCACACCTTTAGTCCTAGCACATAGAAGACAATGGCAAGTATTTCTGTGAATTTGAGGGCAGCCAGGGCTATGTAGGGCAACCCTGTGTTTAAAAAAAAAAACAACACACACAGACACTCACAGAAAAAGACAAACCAGGCAGGCTTCTTAGGAAACTCAAGAACTCTCCAACTCAGGGCTTGAGACAAAGGTCTAGTCATCACCTGGGCAGAGGAAGCCTTCAGGTGAGAGAGGGTGCAAATCCATTGAGGGTGGGAATAATCAGAGGGAGATGAATTACACGAGAGAACAGGTGTCCCATCAGGTTTTTCTCCATCCCTCTAGAATTTCCGTGTGGACGTAGTACATATGGATGAAAATACATTGGAATTCGACATGGTGGGAATTGATGCTGCCATTGCTAATGCTTTCCGGAGAATTCTGTTAGCTGAGGTAGGAGAAGCATGGTGAGAGGGCTGGAGTGGGGAGTTCTGTCATCACCTCATTTGTAGAAGTGTTCCCCAAAGCCATCCCTTCCAGGTGGGTGGGGTGTAGCACACCTATAAGATGAGCAAGTCTGAGGCCAACCTGGACTAGTGAAACCCTGTCTCAAAAATCTGAAGAACAAAATAAAGGACCATCTCTTAATTTCCTGTGGAGGCAGATAGGTGGACATCACTTGGGTTTTGCAGCTGCATGATTCTGCTTCCTTGAACAGGTGCCCACAATGGCTGTGGAAAAGGTTTTGGTGTATAATAACACATCCATTGTCCAGGATGAGATCCTTGCTCACCGCCTGGGGCTCATCCCCATTCTTGCTGATCCTCGTCTTTTTGAATATCGGAACCAAGGTGAGGATGACAAGATGAGATTCCCAGTTAAGTGGAGCTCTTGGGTTCAGATACCAGGTTTATTACTGTACCGTAGTCGAGGTAGTCCACATTGAGAATGCTTGCCCTTATTATGTCAATATATACATATACATACATAAAACATAAACACGCAAGCTTTCAGCATAGTGCCAGCACTCAGAGATGTACTTTAATTATTTAAAAAACTTTGTGTGCGGGTGCACATGGGTGTGAAGGTCAGAGGACAACTTTGTAGTAGGTTTTAACTTGAGTTTCAGGGATTGAATTCAAGTCTCCCAAGTTGGCTTGACACCTTTACTGTGTGAGAAGTTACTAGTTAGAGCTAGCACCAGACATGGTGTTGTACATCTTTATGCCCAGCACTGAGCTCAAGGCCAGCCTGCTATGCATAATGATTTCTAGGACAGCCAGGGCTAGTGAAACTCTGCTCCTTACTTATACAGGTGAGGAAGAAGGAACAGAGATAGACACACTGCAGTTTCGACTGCAGGTCAGGTGTACCAGGAATCCCAGTGCTGCTAAGGATTCCTCTGACCCCAATGAACTCTACGTGAACCACAAAGGTGAGCAAAGGTAAGGAAGAGGGGGGCTGGTGGGTGCTAATTTTAGGATCCGGGATTTTCTGACCTATTTCTCTCCAGTATATACCAGGCATATGACGTGGGTCCCCTTGGGAAACCAGGCTGATGTCTTCCCGGAGGGCACAATTCGCCCCGTGCATGACGACATCCTCATTGCTCAGCTTAGGCCTGGTCAGGAGATTGACCTGGTCATGCACTGCGTCAAGGGCATTGGTGAGAACCTGTCAGTCTGCCACTGGGTGGGGCAAGTCTGTTTGCAGTGGCTCCTGGCATAGGAGAGTAACAGAATTTCTCACAGGCAAAGATCATGCCAAGTTCTCACCAGTGGCAACAGCCAGCTATAGGCTCCTGCCAGACATTACTCTGCTTGAACCTGTGGAAGGGGAGGCGGCTGAGGAACTGAGCCGGTGCTTCTCACCAGGCGTGATTGAGGTGCAGGAGGTGCAAGGTATGATGTGTGGTGTGCTGTTGGGATCAAGACCTTTGTGTATTTTATTCGAAGATGGCAGAAAATAAAAGCTCTTAGACTTGACTAAGGTGTAACATTGTTTTCCTTAGGTAAAAAGTTGGCCAGAGTTGCCAATGCTCGGTTGGATACCTTCAGCAGAGAAATCTTCCGGAATGAGAAGCTGAAGAAGGCTGTGCGGCTTGCCCGTGTTCGGGACCATTATATCTGTAAGTGGGGGTGGTATTGGTGCTCTTTGGATAGGATTTAGAACTAGCTTGTAGTAAAAGCTAAATCCTGCCAGGGCTGAAGTGTCTCTTTGGTCCCTAGTTTCAGTCGAGTCAACTGGAGTTTTGCCACCAGATGTGTTGGTGAGTGAAGCCATCAAAATACTGATGGGGAAGTGCCAGCGGTTCTTGGACGAGCTGGATACGGTTCAGATGGACTGATGCTTCGTAGCATTTCTGGGATGGCCGTGCCAAGTGTGACTAGATGTCCGATTCCAGTCTTATTTCCAGTCAATACATTTTATTAAATGTGCCACAGACTAGAACTTATGCCTTTGTAAGGCCTTTGATGTAAATAAATTGATATCCTAGCAAAAATGTTTTTGGACTTTGTCTAAAAATATGGGGCCTTGTTATAGATAAGGTTGGCGTTAACTAAGGACCAAGCAAAGGTTTCCAGGTCCTTGTCCTAAAGATGTTTGAGAAAGGCTGAATTACCATCGCTATGTAGATGCGGGGGAGAGAAGCTGTAGCTAGTGCTTGGTGTCACCTGTCTCCTGGGCTGCCTTTAGCTCCAGCCGTATTGCCACTGACAGCTCCACAGAAGATAGCCATTTCCCTAAGAGGGCCAGCTGCCAGGTTTTGGTGGTCAGGGATAGAAATTTGCCTAATAGCTTGGCT